TTGCATAAAAATCTGCAGTCTTTTAGCGATGAATAAAAATATAATGATGAGACTGCGGATGTTTACTATACAACATGCGGATGTTTACATAATACAAATTGTCTACGCGAATTGTTATGTAATAATATAGTTTTTAAATAAATGAATAACATCCAAATTTAGTATGAAATCGTCATCGTTGAATCTAATTCGTTGTATTATCGCTAATCTAACTCGTTATTATACACGAAAGGATGAAACAGCTTCTTTTACTTTCCCGCGCTGACAAACCAATTTTACACAGCAAGGTACCTCGGGCACAACACGTTGTAACAATAGACTGCCCACAGCGTCTTAACAACAATGAGCAGAAATTTGCGTTGACTCTTTGCACGCGCATTATCATGCGTTATTGCCTCTTCGCTCTCGCATCTGCTTGCACGAGCCCACGACCCTTTTAAAGGGAATGGATCCGAAACGCGCGCGAATTTCCGTATCCACCGGGTGTCCAGCTGGAGACCGTTCGAAACGTGTTGACTCAAGAGGAGAAGGATGGCCTCGGACGTATCTATAAATCTCGAAGCGAGGACTGAAGCGTGTTCATCGATTGGGCGAAATCGAGAACGATGCTCGATATATTTTCTAGTTCGACGATTTATAAGGGACACTCTCGATGCCGTTCAACCGGCGTGCTCACCCCGTGTACCACTAATCCGTAAATGTCTCCGTTGTAAATGGATCCTGTCTTGCGCGTGAATTGCCGTAACTCATCGCGAGACGCACGCTGAACGTGTCAGCGCCTAGATTAAGCCGCGCATTAAATCAGTTGTATCTACGCGAGTGATTAATTTCAATTATTGTTGTTCGCCGCTAGCGGAATTTCGTGGCCAGCCTCCGGAACGCCGAAAAGATCTTGCATGAGAAAAAAAGAGTGCGTAGTACTATCACGATGTTAACCCTTTTAATGCCGACCAAAAGAGTCGTGTGTGCCTAAGCGAAAACGTAGCAAATGTGTTTGATGCAGTTTGCTGAAGTTTCGAAAAGAAATTACAAAACTGTGTGTTGCAAAACCTAATAATTAGAAAATTGAAAGAGAACATAAATTGAGAAATGCAATTGTTATTTATTAGAAATATTATGAAAGCCATATTTTCTCATGTGTGACCAGCAACGATATATCGTTGTTCGGCAACTAAAAGGGTTAAGAGGTCAATCGAATATTCGTGCTCACGATTCTTCGATCGCTGACGTCCCTGCTATTTTATTTTTTTTTTTAGATGCTGACATAATTTTGCTTAATACCTTTCGATGTTGTTATTGAATTTGTTTATCGTTTATCGTGGTCTACTGAATTCTGCGAATTCTTTACACGTCGAGATGAACACAAGGCAAAAGTGGATTTTTTTGGATTAAGTTATTTTTAATATTTTTGTTTTGAACGAATTTAACTAAATAAATATGTAATGTCTGATTTATAAGGCTTACTTGAAACAATAATAATTTTTATTCAAATGAAATTTATTAAGCAAAGCAAACACCAATGTAATCAACACATTTGTCAATGTCATGACAGTAGAAATTGCAATTCATAAAATTGTTATCTCGATTCCTCAATTTCTCCTGTCACCATTCTTGAATTAATTTACTACAAGTCGACGAAACAAAATGATTCCAATTCGCGCGATAACAGTGTATATTTTAAATACTGAATTAAATGTTAGTTAAAAATCACATTCGGCATGTAAATAAAGGAAAGATCGGATTTACAGATGTAATAATATTTCTTGATCAAAGTACTTTATATCGGAAGCGATCAGATGAAATGCAGAGCAAGAACAACATCAGAAGAATTTAACATTATTAGTACATTATTTACAATCTATTAAAACTATTAAGAGAAAAACTTAATTTCTATTTAACTTCTTTTGCCTTGCAATTATTCAGAAATATAGTTAATCTGTTATTCACAGTTTAGTCAGCTATATTTTATTTGAGCTAGAAAAATAATTGGGTCAGGAGCATAAACCACCGTTCGTAGCTGTTAAGACCGCAGTCAGCATTCTAGATATGGGAAGAAGAATATGTTGATAGATGTAAATTAAATCGTCAATTAACTTGCCGCTACGATGAAGAAGTGGTTCTAGCTACAGTTCGTTCCAAAACAACAGTGACCCGATAAAAACAGTTAAAGGGGACCGTATCGGTCGGAGAAGATTTTTCAATGTTCCCTTACAAGATTTCGCCGCGAGATCAATCACTGTTTCGACAGGGGACGATCGCCGCAGCGCAACGATCGCCGAACCCTCGGACCGGGTTACAATCGATCGACGATCTGATTAACAGTTCGGACAGATGATAGTCATTTGCTACCGCACGTAATTGTTAAACAATTTAACTGTCAGCCGCAGACCGGCGCGCCGTGTTAGCACTCGAGCCGGGGAGGCGTGGTGAAGACGTAACCGGAGGGGTGGAGAGGTCGTGAACTCTCTCTTTAGTCGATTATACATGATCAACTAAAATTAGTTCGTAGTCTGTCTCGCGTAAATCGACTTTGGACGAAAAGTTGTTGGAACTTTAAGGAATCGTCGGGGGACTTGACAACTCGCGGGTCTGCCAACCACCTAAGAAGACCCGAAGTAATCTGAATAATCGAGGCACGCCTGGAGCCGTGATAGTCTTCGCGCGCGAGCGAGTTCCATGGCTCAACTTTAAAGACGAGCAACAATAATACCGAAACTGTTCTTCCGGATACAAGTATAATATGGAAATACAAGGAGAAAATGTACACCACCCCGGCGAGAAGAACAGACGACGGCCACTTGGAAATAGAAACAGAAACCGTGGTGTATTCCGCGCGTACAACCGCGTTTTATTATTCTTCATTTTCATTCCACGGAAGGTTGCCATTTTATTTGCTTCCCGTTTGAAATTGCACTTTGAAATAACTCAACCATTTTTACAGAAAGTAGACTTTTCGACAATAAATTTAACAGCAACAAGTCTGGCACAGTTTTCGAATAAAATTTAAATTCAGAGTTTTTCAACAGAAGGTTATTATTTATTTGTCGCGTTGAATATGTGGTTTAATATAGAGCACGTGATTATTTTATCGATAATAGACTTCTTCGACGATTCCAAAAGGCAACAAATTTGACAAAGTTTCCCAAGAGAAATTTACTTCGAAGTTTTATTTAGGCGAAAGATTAACGGTAAATTCTCCCTAATTGATGCTTAACCCTAGAAAGATAACCATATGACAACGTACGTAAAAGATAACCATACGCTTCAGAGGCGCATGCTTTTCTAAGGCGTCAATTTGATACTAACAATGGATATTTATTTAAGTTAATCTAGTCATTTTAAAGGTTTGGCATTATTGTAAAAATAAAATGCATTTATATTATATTTTTTTATATTTTAAGTAATTTTAAACTTAAATCACTAGACCTCTATGAAAAATTAACAAAAATCAACAGTCTTCGCAGGCGCCTCTGCGACGTAGGTTATCTTTCTCGGGTTAAATTGCTTTTATTAAAATAATGTTACTTAAAATTGTCAATTTTTGTGCACAATCTGAGCGTCAATTAGGGAGAATTTACTATACTACTTTATTTATTTTATTTATATATTATTTATTTATTTTTTGTTTGTCAAACATAGCATTGGATAAACCATTCAAACATTTCGCGAACAATAAACTTCCTTCGCAATTCCGAAATCGAACATCATCAATCCGAATAAAAATTGGCTTCAGAATTCTCCATTCAACGAAAGGTTACTATTCCATTTATTTTTCGCTCGTAACGCATAGATTCGAGTGAACTTCTATCACGATTCCAAAATCGAATACCAACAAATCTGACAGTTCCCGAAAGATTGAATTCGAATGATTTCCCTGACAATCAGCAAAAGGAATCAGAACGATCAGTTACCGAAGCGGATCTAGAAGGCAGGGGGGGGGGGGCAAAGCTGGAGGTAGCGCGGGTAAAAATTGCGCCGCAAGATTAGGATCCAAGCGATCATTCCCAGGCAGACGGAAGAAGAAAAACAAAGGTCCGTGGCCGATGTTGATAACGCCGAACTGTGCACTGTTTGCGCAGATTAAATCCGCCGATCGATCGTGCAGCGCGAAACGAGAGGATGTCTCCGTGCTCCGCATGGAAGATGACTACGAGTTCCCGTAGTCTCGTCGATATAGTTCGGGTTCACGCGAATCAATAACCTTCTCGTAGACCATTAAATCGCGTGATAAACTCGGCCCGATCATGCCGGACAGTGCGCGAAACCGGTATTCGAAGGAAAATTACATACCCAGAGCAGATGTGTCGGTTACCGTGGGCCTCTTGACCACACAGCGCACACTCGGATTAGTTTTAAGTCAAACGAAATTCAGGTTCAAGACATTGAAAGTATGCATTTTTTCTTGACAAAGTACAACTTTTATCGTCCGTATCATGGATATTATAATCAAAAATATAATTTATTTACTCTCCTGACATGTGAAAGACAATATTTGAGATTTGTGGCATATAATATGGAGTGATTTTACTGTAATGCTTGTTGAAAATTAAGAAATACTGGATAAATGAACATTTTGTTTACATGTTAACAAAATCGTGATAAATTTTGAAGAAAATGCATATATTTGATGAATAAATATGTAATTTAAATTTAGAAATGAATTTAATAAAGAGGTTTAATACCTAAAGAAAGTGAAAGAAACTGCTTTATTTAACAAAAATTGCGAAAATTGCAAAAAACGAATAGTTGAATGGCACAGTAACTTGCACATCTACCCTACTGCGGCTTCGATCGTATCGATCTCTATGGATTTATTCATAATTCCAAAATTTCGACAGCTATCACACTCTTTGAAATTAGAAATCATCTTTTTCAAAATTAAAAACCCTTTCGTGCGGTTGCTTGGTAAGCTAGGCCGCGAATGGCGAGCTTCGACGTGTGCGTTTCGATCGGTACAAACTCGTCCACGATTCCACAGGGTTCTTTTCTTGCCCACGAACCTCATCGGCCGTGTGCGAGCTCTTCGTCTGCAGCGAAGGAAGGTCTAAGCAGATGAGAATCACGCGGACGATTCCGGTCGCGTCGACTCGCCGACGTATCCGCAGTGCCGATTAATCACCTCGCCCCGGTTTCGACAAGACGCACCACCCACCCTCCTATCCGCGTCAGAGTTCACTCGGAAGGTGACGCCGCAACGATTCCATTGCACTTTGAACCTTCACCGAGAACCTGCGAATTAATTCAGCAGCGGTTTTTCAGCGCTTCCCCTCCCGAAGCACTTGCCCGTTCATTTCCTTATCTCGACGCGTTCTCGAGATATTTTCAATTACGCTTGGAACATACGAACCGATTTATCACCGATTTTTCAAGGTATAATACAACGTTTTCCGATATTTATTTTTCCATTTTGGCTTCCATCGGTGCTAGAGAAAGCGGGTCACCAATGTTTCGTTTCACTTCAAATCTTCACTTGGAACTTATTGTCCGATTTATCACCGATCTATCACTGATCTATCACCGATTTATCATCGATTTATCACCGATCTATCGCCGATTTCTTAAGATACGATTTCAGAATATTTATTTGCAAAATATGATATTCTCGAGATTATTTTATATATATTTTTGTCCGACTAAATTCTCAGTCCACTTCGAACCTTCACTGGGAACATAGATATAAACCGATTTATGGTGCAATCTTTACAAGATTCAGTTGCAAACTCATAATTTTAGACTCAGAGTTAACATAATTATAACAGTCTTTTCAAGGTACGATTTTGTTAATATTTCCTGATTTATTAGCGGAAAAGAATCTTTCGCAGAAGCTTGCTATGTGATTAATCCAATCACGCTCGAAATCGCGCAACCCGACTTTTCATCGCTGTGTTTCGGAGTTCAGGATTTTATTGTCACAACGAATGCTTGATTCCACTCCGAACTTTCACCAGAATGCGCGCGAACTGATTTATCGCCGCTTCATCATTCGCTCTCTCAGGAGATTTATTTTTCCATTCAGTCGCGAAAGAAACTACGTTACCCGTCCATTATACTCTGTTCATACAGACAATCTCGCATTGCATTTGCAGAGAAATATGCAAACTACAGTATTGTCGGTTCGCCGTCATCTCTTCGGTCATGGAACATGTTACTTCGCGAGGTGGCGAAAAGAAAGCAGCGTCGTTTTATTGTCTGGATCCTGAAATCCACTTATGCGACCTCCATGAAATCCGTCAGTCCTCCGACATCTCGGTATTATTCATCCGTCTTTATTAACGGAATCCTCTTCGACGTATCAATTCACAATATCTCTGATGGCGCGAGCAAATTGATCGCCGATTTCCCAACGCTCATGCTCTCTTAACATTTATTCTCGAGTCGAGGCGATGGGAAAAATTGTCTTCTATAAATCCCGGCGCGATCGCGTCGTCGATATTCCAACATCGTCACAATACTTATTGTCCGGGTCGTTCAAAGGCGTCCTCTTTAAATCGGTCCTCCCTGGAAACTTCATCCATCCGAGCGAATATCTCCCGCCGACGTTTCCCCGCTGCTCCGATGGGAACGAATGAATTTCCAAAATGTTGTTTACGCTTTCCGTCCGGCGCACTCGCTGATGCAGAGCTTCCTCAAGTTCCGGAGTTATGAACTTTCTTCTCCCCCCGAGGTGACCTACTAAAACCATGCATGTTCGACACACGTTCCGACCCCGGACGGCTCTGTGGCGACGATCGTCTGGCTCCCCGTATTGTCAGATCGTGTTAACCATTCTTCCCTTCCGCGAGGAGAACACCTGCCCCTTGTTTATATGTTTCTAACATAGGTAACGTTGGACGAAGAAGTTTCGTTTAACGGGTACGACAGAGTTTCGTCGGCGCGCGTAACAAAGTAGATCCGAGAGTAGCTGTCACCGTGGAACGTATAAAAATCCGTTTGCAGGGATCGCGTCAATTTCCAGAGACGATTAAATCAGATTTCCTATTCTCCGAGGAATCGGGACAAGCTCTCGCCATAGACCATAACAACTATTTACAACTTCTTCGATCCTAGGACCAGGCATTCTGCTCTCTTCGAGCTACCTTCCGCCGACACTGATGAACGACCGCGTCACTGGACACCATGGCTCGCCCGTAAAAAAGACTGGTGAACGGCCGGTTCCTGTTTCGCGAGCGAGCTTCCGGGAACAGAGATCGCGCGAGCCGACGTCGGGACACCGATCATTCCTCGCGGTATGTCAGCGTCTAGCAAGTATTAATTAGCCGGGCAGCTGGAACATCGACCTGGTTTGCTCAGGAGTCACGCGTGCCTTTCATGCTCGAGACAATCAGCCGGGATCTTGGAGCACGCAGCGACCGTTTCACGGTGCATTACCAAGGAGCGAGCAGCAGTTTAGACGCCGAGGAGGAGGCTGCCGCATCGGCTTTGCCAATTATTGTCGAAGCTGCGATCGATTGTTCGCTGCGGACGCATGCTGAAGTCTCGGCCGCCTTGCTTGCTCCAGGTTACAGCGATCCCTGGGTTCAACGCGTTAAAAGGATTCTGTTATTCGGCGAACCGTGTCCGAGGCATCGGATGACTCCCGGAGAGCGAGAGAGGCGATTTTCGTGACAAGCGACTGGGTCCCGCAGCTGACGAAGAGAAAGGGAACTGGTTCCCATCGATTTTTTCCCGACCGCAGGGTCACCGGAAGAGAAAGCTCCTCGGGGCACCCGTTATCTGCTGATCCGGCCCTCAGGACTCGCAGAGATCCTGCGGAATTCCATCCCGGGGACACCGGGAGATAATTGTTACTCCCTCGACCGGCACACAACGGTGTCGCGCAGAGAATTGATTCGCGGGCTGGAAACGCAGCCCGATCGGCTGCGGGAACGAGGAGGATCGTGCACCAGTTCCACTTTAACGCAATCAATCTTCCTCGCGGCGTCACCCGGAAACAGCCTGCGTTCTCCCAACCTTGATGTAATTTTTGTCCACTCGACTGCCGCTTAATTAATCGATGACGACCGCGTCTCTCGCGGCCGAAGTCTGCCGGAGTCCCTCGGTTATCTCGTGCATCGGTGGCCCGTCGTCCTCGAGTTCGAGCATCTTTTCTTAGGGAATAATCCTGTCATCACGAGTCACTTATCGCGCGATAGGCAACGCGTCCCACGAAAGATCGTCCGCTTCGGATCGGTCGAATTATAGAAAAGGAGGCTCGGCTCGGATCTTTCACGCCACTGAATCGATTTGTTACCCGGTCCGAGGGCCTCGAAACTGCCGTGCAGTACCGAATCCGGTTTCCACGGGAGGGCTGAACACGCGTGAACCCTATAGCACGCCGATAACCCCGCGGTGGGCTGGTTCGAGCGAGGTGAACGCGCCGAATCTCGCTGGCTGTTCCCGTTGTTTCGCGCGTCGGTCGGTCTAAGCCCGCGACGAGCGGGACATACACCCGGCGCTGAATCGCGGCCAACTGAGAGGGAGAAAACAGCCCCCTAGATAGCTACCAGTCGGTTGGCTGTGGCATCGCGCACGGAAACCCCCTGCGCAACGTTCTGCTCTCTCTCGCCCCATCCTGCGATCGCGTCTGTCGGCGCGGAACGCCGACGTCGAGACGTCGAAACGACGACGAATTCAACCCGTCTTCGATCAGAACCTTCAACCCACCACCGAACCCAGCTGCTCGAATCTGTAAATGAGTTTCGAGCTTTAACCCTTTGCTCGCGGATCGTGGTTCCTGGTTCCTGGCTCGCGGTTGTCAGGCATCGCGTGTACGTTGCACAACGCTTCGAAGCAGGAGAAAAGTCTTTTTTGTATGTTAAGAAAGCAAATTTCTTATTGCTGTACCGTGATAAGGGAGATTACTTATCGAAATCAATAAATATTTTATCGAAATATCTTTAACTTTTGTTCGAAAGATGTGATATGTGAGTTGGAAAGCAAAATACCTGTGATTTTTAGCGAAAACCGCGTAACCATTGAAGCCGGATTGATAGTAGCTGTAAAATTAAAAATGGAAGAATTTTATGATAATTGTAAAGCTTATTGAGATAATTAATTAATAAAGTAGTATTAGGTTGTTCGGAAAATTTGTTTCAAATCTTTTATGTGAATTCGATGGAACGAAATCTATGAAATGTGAAACGAACTTTCTGAACAACCGAGTACAGTAAATTCTCCCTAATTGACGCTGAGATTGTCAACAACTATAAAAACGAGCCGCAAGGCTCGAACAATCGTATCTCCTCTTCCCAACAGTTAAAACAAAACAATTTATTAGGTTATTCGGAAAGTTCGTTTCACACTTCATAGAGTTCGTTTCAATGAATTCGCATAAAAGATTTGAAATTGTTATTCATAAAACAAGATTTTAGTCGCTAGAATTTGTTATTGTTAGTGGCTTTTTAGTGGATTAATAATTGTTGAAAAAAAACTGGTTTTCCAGTTAACACAGTACAACAAGGGATACAATAGTATAAGATTGTTTATATATTTTATATATTGCTTAGATTGTATAAAATTAAAATAAGAACACATGTTTAAAGTACAGACATATAACATTCATTGATTTTTCGAGCAGTTGCTACATAATGTTTCGTTTTTTATTGCTGCACGATTGTTACGTACTAATAATGTCTGATAACTGAGTTAATTGTAAGAAACGTAAGTCAAATAAAAATGTACTGCCTCTCTTAATAATTTCGCTAAGTTGTACATAATATATAAATACTCTCAAATTCTTCTAATTTATTAACAGTCTCGTTTTCGAACGATTTAATCTACAACTGGTATTTTTAATTCGGAATCGAAGAACCGGTTTTCGAATTTTACGGAACCAGAATGAACCGGTTTTCAATTCCGGTTCTTCAGCATCGTCAAAACTACCCTTATAGAGAATATTTTACCATAAATGAAACAGTATCAGTTGATTCTAGGATGTGTGTACGCACAGTTCCGAGTTAATATTTTCTCTCGTGTTTTATATAAAATTGAGTTTGATTGCTTTTTACAATTTAATCAACATTCCATATGTTGCATTGAATAGAAAGTTATAATTAGAAAAAAATTCCACCGTAACAGTCGCTGATAGCGAACGCACCAAACTGTTCAAAATACAACGAAACCAAAGCTAAAATGATCTACAGCTGGTATTACGAAATTAATTTCTGCAAAAGTGAGATTCAAACGAGAACAATTTTCTGCGAATTCTTCGGCGACTACGGAAAATTCTGTTCCGAATCGATGAAAAATTGTCCAATGTTTCAATGGTTCTTCGAAAGGGGAGTTATCGACAATGAAACAAAGAATCCTCGAAACGCGTTACCCCGGGAAACCGGTGTGCAGTCCTTCCGCCAACGTCTGGTGCAAAGTTTCCCGGGTGCAGCGATAAAATTACCGTGGACCCGGTACAATGGACTTAACGCAGTAATTAGCGAACGGAAGCTCCTCAGCTGCGAGTTGCGCTAATAAACCCGATTGAATTTCAACGTTCGAAGCAGCCGAGCAGCTTGAAAATTCCGTCGATATTCTCCTTTTCGATGAACTCGCATTCCCATTGGACCATCGTATCACCTACGGTTACTGGAAAAGCAGAATCTAGATCGAGCCGCTTCATTCACAGCTGCTATCTGGATCATTCGCTCGACTCTGTTACGATATATTGTCAGGCGCAAGTAACGAGAAATAATTTCATAAATTGTTATTCATGGATCGATCGGATTGACCTCTTCAGGTACGTCTCAGAGAGCTTGCGATTTTTAAGCCAATTGCTTGGAACATAATCTTCAAAGGATGCGGAGCTCAACTAACTGCGAGACCCGAAGAATATTCGATTAGCTGGATCTCTTGCATTCAACTCTGCAGTTTCCATTACGCGGAGATCTTTGGTTTTGCCGCAGTACCAAGCATACGATTGAGTTAGTGACAGGTAAACTTCTAATGTGTATGCAGTTTCATAGTATTTTGTACAAGTTCTAAGAAGATGAGTTAATACATCATAAGTGCAAATGTATTATTATTTATTATTTTCACTTATTTTACGTATATCGCGCATTTATTATTTGATTTACGTACATTAATAAATTATTATACTTCCAATTTATTATTAAATTATTATACTTCCAATTTATTATTAAATTATTATACTTCTAATTTATTATTATTATACTTCCAATATCTAATTATTTATTATCCAAGCACATTTTACGTGCAAATAGACCAACGTAAATAAATCCAGCTCCAACCAATCTTTATTGATTTGTACAATAAAGATTGATTTTAGCCTTTATGTGATCTATTATCCAAACACTTACGTTCCCTCGACCAATTCGGATAGTCTCAAAACATTTAATTCCGATTGCGCCAGAATTGTGCAACCGCGGTGCTAAAAATCTGAATAGATGCATTCTTGTTACATCGATAAAGAAGATCTATCGTTAGAGATGAATGAAACGAAAATTGCATCGGAAGAAAAGCGAGCATATGTCGGTGACCGTAGCACCGAATCACCCTCAACGCATTCGATGGAGCGGAATTACGAGGCCACAGTACCAAACGGCGAAACCATAGCGAATTAAACACCGTAATAAAAAGCCATTCCAGAACGCGAGACTGAACACGCCCCAGGAAAGGATTCTACGTATCGGTCGCAACCTGAATGCAGGATAAATTGCTTGACAATGAGCACATCCAGGCATCCTTCGACCCCCCCGCAGGGGTTTTTTGTTTGTGACCCCGTGCCACGGAGGGATACAAAATACAATGGAATCACGGTTCGGACTGTTTGCGTCACGAACTAGGGGAGAATAAAAATGAGAGAGAAGGAGAGAGGTAGAAAGGGAGAATAAGAGAAAAGAGAGAGAGAGACGAAGAAAGTATGAGAGAGAAAAAGCACAGGGGAACAGAAAAAGAGGGGGAGAGAGGAACTGAAAAAGAGAGAGAGAGCGAGAGAAAAAGAAAAGAAGAGGGTGAATATGAGAGAAAGAGAGAGAGAGAGAGAGAGAGAGAGAGAGAGAGAGAGAGAGGATGAGTAGAAAATGAGGGCCACAGAGAAAGGGAGAGAAAGAGAGGGGGGGAGAAAATATAAGAAAGACGAAAAGAGAAAAAAGAGAAAAGGTGGCGCGTACAGGACGACTCCCGGATCTGTTATTGTCGACGAAGCAGGATGATCTTCGGCGGAACGAATTTGGTGCACTGAAACGAATGAGGAGCATCGGACGTAGTACTTTTCCCGATTAATCTTCAACCCTGGCTCCAATTTGTCACGAGTTTTCGAGGAGCACGCGCTCCACCGTCTCGGACCGTTCGAGGAGCAGATCGAAACGATTGCTGTTGATTGCTATAATCATCATTTTAGCGGGACCATCGATCTTCATACACACTGATGCGAAAAAATATTTGCGTCGTCTTCCGAGTCGAAGAACTACCCTATTAGAAGCATAGTTGTTACGTAGTTTCCTCTTGACTTGAACTTTTAGTTGAAGAATGCAAATGATGGACGAATATAAGCAGGACCAAATAAAGTGTTGTTAAATACTTTTTCTATGCTTGTCTAATTGAATTAGATATGGAAAGTCGACAGGTTTGGTATGCTACAAATCTGAATTTCAAGAAAACATTAATACGATTTTTCGTTTAAAAAGGACTTACGATCATGTTTATCTCCTAACTTCGAAGGTGAACATTCGGTGTGTTACAAATTGTTGGGACGTCACAGAATTATAGTACATGTAAATCGTATAATGTAAATCATTTATATGAATCGTTCAACTGAACAAAAGACGGCTGAATTTTAAAAAGACATTAATACGATTTTTCGTCTAAGAGAGTATTAGGGGATTGCGTATTTGTCCCCTAAGTTATCGGAACAGAAAAAGCTGACTGATCAGCTCCCCTATGGTATTTAATTTAAAAAAGAAAATTAAGTCGATTTGTATTGTGTTCGTATTCGGTGTTTGGCCCATATGTGTTCGTCTTTCACACGTGATAACTTCATTGAAAACATTTACATGTGTATAGTTGCATAGCATTTGATATATAAAATGTATTTACACTCGACAAAGATATTATTTAAACGGTGTAGAAACACGCAAAATGAAAATAGTACTAAAATTAATATCACGTTTGAAGTGGTAGAATGTTCATATTAAAACTGCGGGATCAGAATTGAATGGTTCAATTAAATATTTGAACGATTCCAGAAAATACAATATTGATATCGAAAATACTGTGGAAAGTAAAACAGTGGGGTGAGCATGTGTTCGTTAAAACGAACGTTACTTATTCTTCTGAATGATACAATCCTAAGCGAGTCATTTTGCTAGCAAATTCATACATCTTTGAACATAAAATTCTGGCATTTTTATTCGAGTTAATGAAAATCGAGAAATTTTTCAAAATTCTATCTGCAATACATCTGCAGATGCGTAATAGAACTACTGTATAAATTTTAATATG